TCCTTCTGGGAATAAACAATAGTTAAGAGATGATTTGCAATCTTATTACTGTGGAATCTGAAGATCTAGGAAAGACAATCAAGATGGAAGATTCTGTGGAAGAGAAGTCCACAGAAAGAATGCTGCAGGTGAATGAGTAGTTATACAAATTGTTTTATAAGGAAATGTTTGGGGCTTGGAATTTTAGTCTGAGGTATCTGGATGATGGATTGCTGGTACAAGATACAGTAGATTGCACCCCAGAAAACTCATAAGCCACATTATGCTTCCTTTTGTACCATAGTATTCAACTGTCTATACAGTAATGTTAGAGTATGGAAATAAACCAGTTAAGATTGAACTCAAAGGAAGGAAGATAGGATTGAATTACTATAATGGAGACCTAATGGCATAATTCCAATATGTGGAATATAGCAATATGATATTGGAAATTGCAAAAAGGAAGAAAAATTGTATTATATGTTACAATGTTTACATATATTCAGAAATCCAGTTTACTGAACTTGGAATATACCATAGTCAGAGTATTTGCAAATTGCTGGAAGAATAAGATTGGATCTCAAGAAAAAGTAAAAAGATAGACACTCCCCCCCCCCCCAAAAAAAGAGAAGGTAACTCACTGGAAGCAGAACCAGAAACACCAAAATCAAACCAATGAGATCTAACCATCATCTTAATCAAAGACCTAGAAGAACTGGGTCCTATAAAATGATACTACTTAATTAATGAGACTTGGAATTATCCACTATAGGTGCTGTCACCAGAAGGGCAGAAATATATAGAGGCAGGCAGTGTTTCAAGTAACCAGGCCCCATGCCATGCAGGGGATTATAGGTGATAATCAGCACTTTGAATTGCACCAACAAACCAACCCGCAACCATTGAAGGTATTGAAATAGAGAGGGGGACACTGTCAGGCCTTCTCTGCATTTACATGGCCAAACCTTGGGTGCTTGGCAACATGGACACATTTATGGCCATTTGCAGCAGCATGTGATTAACATTTTATAATGGTTTTGCCAAAAACTGAAATTTCTGATTTTTGCCAAAACTGTGCCCATAGCAGACCATTGGTTTGCTTACTGACCATAGTGTTTGCTTAACAATCACTAAAAGAGGTCATAAAATTGGATCAGTCTCATGACTCATCCATTTTATGTGTGTTATGACCTATGATTGTAATGGGCAGGCTCCATTTCTGTTGTATGTCAAGGACTACCTGTACAGGTAAAATTCAGATGAGTTCTAGCCTCCCATGGAAAATGATGGCACAATATACGTAAGCACCAAAAAATGCAAGTTAGCGATAGGTGATATTTTAGAACAGGATTTCAGGACAAGACTTGAAATCTGCATTCTTGGCCTCTTATGGTCAGATTTCCGCATTTTGGATGTGGGGTACAAATAAGATAACATGAAGTCCAAGGAAAATAGCGTTACTTATCTTGAATCTAATAATGCTTGTGTTTTGATCTCATATCTCCTTATTAAGTGAAAACTGCTATTGATATTTATATATTACCATCTGTTGAACACAAGATTGGAAACAGTTTATTCTGATTATTTTCCATCTGTACTAAACTTAAGGAAAAAATGGAAAAAAATAGAATAAAGTTGGATTGTGTGCGTAAGTGCTGAATTGTATGTTATAAGAGCATGTTGAATTTTGTTAAATTCAGTGCATTCATTTCTACATTTTCAGTTGGTTCTTCATATTTGTCTTATTTTTAAGAAATACGGTTTCTGGGATGCTGATCAAACAGTGATTGTTTCTATGCTTTAATTTCTTTGCTAGATATTATTGATTCTTTTTGTGGCCAGCATTTCATCTCAGCGAAGATCATCGTTTATCATTATAACAAGTTGATTTTCATTTTGGGAAGGAACTTGTGGGAATGCTGTGATAATAATGCTTCTATATTAAAATGTATATCTGGGCTTGACCAGAAAAGCTTAATTTGAACAGGGCATTCTTCCAATTCTAGCATTCAGTAACAGCCCCTTCAGTACAGCTGAGCTTTTAAAATTATATTTACATGTTAATTAATTGTAGAATAGTTTGAATGTATATTATCTTTTGTGGTGGCATCTGGTATTTTTTGTTTAGGAAGAGTGGTACTCAAGAGTCTTTTCTCAGAAATACTTGGCAATACATTGAACTGTATTAACGGTAGAACTACTTCAGCTTCCATTAATCTTACAGTATGATAAATTTTCCCCTCAAGTGTGTTTTCATGTGACTTGTGGATAGCTTTTCCTGGCAATTTTTTTTGTAGACAATATATCTTAGTGGACTTCATCAGCTGAAGGCTGTCATAATAGTGGAAAGACTAAAATCTACTTAGGCCATGAATATATATTCAGATATAATTCCATACACATGGAGAATATTAGCCTACTGGATAACAGTTTTGTGAATTCCAGCTTTGGTGCATTATTTGTTTAATTTAAAATATTTTATTGTTGCCGTTCTGAATTTTGTCTGGAATACAAAAAATATTGGTACCATGTATAATTATCTTGAGAATGCTTGTTCAGTATTCAAATTTATTTGTCATTTCTTGATAAATGCATAATAAGTTTTTTGAAAAACATTTTCAGTTTTGGAATGCCATATCTTAAACTAGCTCTCTTTTTGATGACATTCCAGGCCAGGGTCAAAATTTCAAGATGAATTTCAATTGCAAATCAATTTCCAAACCTGCCATATATTTATTTGATTTAGCTGTTCCTAGTGCTTTTATATATAGGCATGGATAATGTTTGTGGGGGGGGCAGAAGTTGCTATTCTGAATGTATAAGACTGCAGAAGTTGCTGATGTGTTTATGCCACAGAAAGTAAGGCTGATATTTTTCTGCTTGTGTTTGTGTGTGGGTGTAGTTTCAGTGTTTTGAGGGCGGTGATGGGAACAAGACACCTCTGGGAAGGACAAAGCGCACTCTTAAAACAACTTTTCCCCGGCAGCCATTTTAGGCCAATTTTAGGTTGGAGAAGAGGGTTGAAAGATAGGTGGGAGGATTTGCCTTGCAGATATTTCTCACTTCCATTTAAACTCTTAAAAATCTGAACGAAGCAAAAACATTGAGTTGCAATCAGCCTATAGAATGGCAATTTTAGGACTATTAGGGATTTCAAATAGGATTTGGTGTCAGGACTCTCTGAAGTATTCTACTCCCGTTTTTACTCTTTATTTTGGTGGGAGAAAAATTCATTCCATCTTGCAACAACATTCAGATGCACGCTCTTTTTTTTTTCATTGATTCTTCTTTTAAATTATTTTTTTTGTCTGGTTCTTCTATTGTATTGTTTTATTTCATACAATTTGTTTATATTTCATATTTCTAGACTACCCATTTCCCATAGAATGTAAACTGAAAATATTTGTTCAATAAATCATATTAATCATATTTTTAAAAGAATGAGGCTATTTCCAGGAAGTAAAAATAATTCAGTGGTGTACTCATGTGGCTTGGTACTATATGATCAGGAGGTGGTGCTATAGAAATTATTTTAATGTTGATTTTTCCTTTGTATTGCAAAAAAAATAGTACAGGTTGTGATCCCTCTTTTTCACACATTGGAAGTGATATACTTCAGTAAAGTTGGATGGTAGTAGCAGAAACAACCAAGTCATTACCCTAAAGCAAGAGGCAGTACAAAGAATATGAAAAATCTATATAGTATTACAACTCTAATTTCTGTAATCTTTAATTGGGTGAAGTTGTACACCATAGGGCAAAACCTTTTGAACCAAGGTACTTCAAATGGATTTGAAATTTGGCAAATTTTATAAATCATTTTATGAGATAAAATAATCATAAGACAGTTTATGATAATAAAACAGTTTATGATTATATAAAATGTCATAAAATATTTCCTGTGCTGATGTTTGACTGGGCGATTTTGAAACAGACACATCTCTGCATTTATTCTAGCTCTTTTAAAGGCAAGGCAATAGAAACTCTGTCATTGTTGAAGGCATTGAGGTATCTGGTAAGAAAATATCTCTGAAACAATGATCTAAAGAGTCATGCATTGTCTAGTATTTTGATAAAAATAAGCAAATATTCTGCAATAGAATTTTGGTTAAATGAATCTAGGCAAAATATACTTAATTTAAAGATACATTACAGTAAAGTAGTCTGTAAAAGATACAATGTACAATAAATATTAAAGCTCTGAAATTAGAACAAATCCTCCATGGCCTCTACATCTAAAAACCTGATAGTTAAAGTAAGAATGGCTAAAGGGAACAAATGGTAAACTGTATTAATCTGTGATGTAGAATTCTCTATAAATTGTTCCCCTTCTGAATTTTCTCTGCAAATTAAAAGCTTTTTGATCTAAATTTAGAAATGAAACAAAATTGACCATTCTAACCTGTAAATATTTTCTTTTCCAACAGATTCTAAATGAAGAATGAAAGATAAATCTTTGGCAAAAGTTTAACCGTGCTTCAAGAATGACCAGTCTACCTTCCCTTTGGATTTCATAAACTATTGCTTGATCTGTTTATGTTGATTTTTATTGATCATATCAAGACAAGTGAAATGTTTTGTAGGCTTTCTAATCCTTTCTAGATCTTAAGACAGCAAGGATTTTGGTGCTGAATGGAAACAATGAACGTTTTTAACAACAAGGAACTCTATGCCCTGGTTGATGGTCATCACTGGAGAGATCAAAGGAAGATCTGTCAAAGATTATGGGAATGATTCTCACAAGATCACATTGTCAGTTCAATCTAGGGGCCTTGCTGATCATATTTACTTTATATATACTTTGAGCATAACGATGTGATGACTTTTTCTGATTTTTCTAGATATGTAATGTTAGTTTCAGTTATTTGCAAAAGGAAATGGAGATTTTATGGACTTTATCATCTACATTTGACAGTTGCCACAATCTGCAGTGGCCTACAGTAACCATGTGACCTTAACTTGCTGTTTCTACTGCCTTAAGAGGCATCCTAGGGAGATTTCCTTGGAAATTCAAGTTCTTCCTCTAGCACAGGCAATTTGCAAAGTATTGCCATGATGTGTGAGGTAATGCCTACCATTAGTGAGGGTGACCCCTTAGGGCCACAGCCAGGCTCTGATTCTGATGCCAACTTTGAACAGCTGATGGTGAACATGCTTGATGAGAGAGATAAACTGCTAGAGACTCTTCGGGAAACACGTGAGACACTATCTGTGACTCAGGGCCGGCTGCAAGAGACTGTGCATGAGCGAGACCAATTGCAGAGACAGTTAAACTCTGCTCTACCTCAGGTAAGAAGATACATATACCAGATTTTTGTTAGCTGAAATATAAGCAAGCAGCAGGAATAGTTAGACTCAAGTGTATTGATCTTGTGTGATTTAGTACAAAGAAAATAGCTTTTATACTGTAATCGCTAAACCAATGCATTAAGACATAAAGATGATACTGTATTCATTACTTTCTTATTTGTCACCAGTGCTTGACAGAGGTAATGCTTCTAAAGTAGCATTGGCTTTTTCATTTAGAACAATTCTCTACCATCACTATTTAGAAAAGATAGTCTGTCTAGGTATGCAAAATGAAGACCATGAAAATGAAAAACCCTCTCAAACAGCTGAATATCCATTAGATTCTTTGAAAATTAATAGATTCAATTTCAATTTAATGGAGAGAGAATAAATATTAGGGCTGTGTAATGCTTTGGGCTAATTTTGGGAGAGATTCTTTGAAAAGAAATGGGAGAGCGAATGCTGTATCTGTGAGAAATTATAGTACCTGTTTTGGTTTCAGGATTATGCAGCTGCAGCTGGAAAAATTGCTTTAATGAGTCACAGACAGGTGTTTTATTCACACTCCTAAGCACTCTAAAGCACCTTTTTTGAGTTGAAACCAAAACACTGTCCAGCTTTAATAAATATAAATTTAATCTAGCTAAGATGACTGAGGTACTCAGTTTAGGATTCTGGTGAAAGGTATCACTATTCTCTCTGAAGTGGCAGTATTTTTACAATAGCAGTAATTGGTAACTTCACCCATCTGTCTGTTATAATATCGGTTTTTTCAGGTAGCATTCAAGGATCACAAGTACTGTAGTAGTATATAAGTCATAAATGGCCTGGGCTGCATATTTGTTATTGCCGAGATTATCCACTCTACTTCTTCTGGCAACAGGTTTTATAAAGTTTATGTGATGAACATAAAATCTTAAATCTTGAAATTTTCTCTGATGTTACATATGGAATTACTCTATTTTGTAATTGCTTCTTTCAACAGGAAGTTTTAAATGCCTCAGGCTAAAGAAAAGAGCTCTTTAGTCATAATTATTCATATTTAATGTATAGCAATTTTGTAATATATAGTATGATTACCATAGTACATTTCCAACATCTGTAATTATTTAAATTATGGTTTACTCCTCATTAGCTTTCTTAAACTGTGTGGTGCCACGTGTACTTGAAGTTATGTAAACTAGTTTTGTAGCCTGTTGCAGTGCTTACTTACACATTTTTCTGTAGATTGCTGCAGCAGTGTGCTATTTGATGGGTAGCATTTTGGGTACCGTATATACTGTAAAATAACTTCATGTGAGATGGCTAGTAACATAACACATGTTCGTACATACTATTCTATGTAAGAACTATGTGTGAATTTATGTAAGCTTTTAGATCTATCTATGATTTATATATAAGCTTTTAGATTAGGAGTGAGTAACTTGCAAACAAGGCAGGACTTTTATCAAAAGACAATGCAGGTGCCATTATTATCCAAGGCTGTGAAACAAATAGCAAGAAGTCTGTCACAACATAAGGGTGGGAGAAAGAGAAACAAAAAATGGAGGCTGGATTCTGTGGTATGTGATTTGGATTCTATGGTATGTGATGTTTATTATTAAGTCTTTTTGTATCTATAATAAAAACAACATATCAATCTCAGCTTTAGCCTTAACTCCTCCACTGTTAAAGGTGGCCTGAATAAAATTGTGGTTTGGAATGAATGAGGCTTAAATCCCAATTTGAAAGGGTCTGCCAGGAGAAATGCATACATTACCACAAAGATTTTGTACGCATTAATACAATTCTACTTGGTGATCAATGAAATACGTGAGGAATTATGGCACTGTATTGTCAAGAGAAGAAATATTCTTTGTGTTCTCTACATTATTTTCTTTGGTTCCATCATTCCCACCTCCTCTCTTTCATTAGTGGTTTTGAATATTGAACTCTCGTAGCTAGGAGACTGGACAGCTCATCTCTTTGAGAAGAGCTAGGTCAATGCACACAAGATCTACGTGTATTATTTGAAGAATCTAGTTACATTTCAGAAGAGTGACTTTCCAAGAGACCACCCCCTGCTGAAATGTCAATAAAATATTGTACATTTTGCAATAAGTAAACAACCAGATCTAGCTTCTTTGGAAACAAATCAATCCCAATATCTGCCACAGTAACATCTGAAAATTAAAAAAAGATCAGATATGTGCGACTACCCATTGATATTTAATCATTTGTGTAACATTTAAGGCCTGGCTGCTCAGCTGTAAAGCACCAGAACTTATTTTATTCTGGTGCCATGGGCAACTTCATAAAATCTTCAGTTGCATGTAATGTACATATCTTGCACATTCAGCCTTGTGAGAATGGAATCTATTGGTTCCAGTGTTTATGGTTCAGCTAAAATCTCATGAATCTTCTCTTATTTATTATCTATTATCACCAAGAGTCACTCAACTTTATTTGGTTTCCTTATTACAATTTTTGATAGTTGCAGGAATAGATTGTCATCAAGCTCACAATCCATTTGCTGAAACTGGGAAAGCATTACATTGAGCTCCCATGCATACAAAGTTCATTACCTGCATTGCTTCACATCTCTTACCTTTGCTCAGCACAGCACAGCACAGAAATAACTTCCCCATATTTTATCCTAAATATTCTGGCTTTGATCATGTGCAAAATATTGCTAACCCATATCAAAAACTGAAAGAACTAGCTAAAGACACCTGTTAAAAAAGCTTCATTTTTTTCTGCATAATTAGACAACATTCATTTTGCTGTAACTGTTGTTAAAAAGAAGGATTGTTCCTTATTACAGGTTTCTGAACTCTGTAAGAATTGTGAGGACGTTAGAGATAAACAGGAGGAGCAATAAACAATCAGTTGATGCCAAGATTCATTAGTGGTTTATCTAATCAATAGCAACTCCATTTTCAAGTCTTTATACCTTTCCCTCAATTCATGTTTTTAAACTCCATATTAAACTCTCTGTCTCCTTCTATAAGGGCTTGACAGCAAGTATTACATTGTCCCCCTCATGTATGAACTCTTATAATAACTACAGAAAGCACATATTTTTGCTAGGTTGGATTCCAAAGGGATTTACAATTCTATAGTAATTTAATGAAAGGTTAGCACCTTGTGTCCCATGATTCTGGAAAGCTTGATTTTGGACCCAGGCCTGGGGTTAATATTGTTTGAAGTAGTAATGTTTTGCTTGTTTTGTGTTATTTTTAGATCATTTTAGTCTAGGGTGACTTTGCGGTTTTAGGTTTTACTTGTTTTTATGGATTTGGATTGTTATTTGGTTCAGTTTTGTATGCTACCCAGAATCCATAAGAATTGGGTGGCTATAATAAATTTAAATAAATATATAAATAAATAAGATTTGGATATGGTGACAAGAAGGAATTACCATATTCAAGAATAAACCTTTTGCAAAAATTGCAAGAATGACAAGTAATAAAGATATAGCAATGGAGGAAAATTTATGTAGCTCAGGTTGAACTGTGGAGTTTTTGATGTTCTCTGAGCTTGGTTATTTGCTTGCAAACATTTTCTTACCAGACTAGATAACATTTTCAGTGCTAGAAGTGAATGGGATTTACTCTGTTTATATACTGTTGCTTGCCTTGACAGTGTTGGTGGGGGTGTTGTTTTCTCTTTGGTAATTCCTTAATTAGGTTGTTGTTTACTACTTGATTGTTTGTCTGGTGATAATCCTAGTGTTACTCCTGCTTATCTAAATGCTGATTACTTTCAAGGAGGTGTTTTGGCCTCTTGGTTCCCTTTTTAGCTTTGTTATTGTCTCCTTGGAACGGTGTGTAAGTGGTGTTTATCTCTATGTGCCTCTTTAATGGCCGATTTGCCTGAGTGCCAAGCTTTCAGGAATTCCCTACTATTTTTGGATTTAGCTTGGTCTAGGAAGCTTTCCCATTCAAAACTATGGTTACATTTGTCCATATGTTATGAAATTAAAGAGTTTTCATCATATCTTCTGATAGCTAGTTGGTGTTCATGGATGCATTCTGCTTGTCTTCTGTCTATCTGTCCTACATAGTGGCTGTTACAATCCTTAAACTATGTGTTGTAGATGATTCCTGTTTTTATTTTTGGGCTACCTGAGTTACTTAAGATGTTTTAGAGAGCTTTAGTTGGTTTGTATGCTACAATAATTTCAAATGGCATTAGTCTGTTTATTGTTTCTGAGATGTTTTTAATGTATGGTAGTTTAATTCTTTTCAAGTTTGTGTTGGTTTGTTGGTTTGTGCTATCGTGAATTCAATGGTCTGGATTTTTTTTTTATAAAGTTCCACGTGCATCCATTTTGTTGGCTATTGTATTGAAATATATATTAAAGAAAGTAGGAAGTCATAAAAAAAGTATTTCAGCAACTGAACTGTTCCATATGAAGTCCAGTATATCCTAACACTCTTACATTTCATTTTCCTTCCCACTGTATCTAGGAGTATATCCCTCTCTCTTTTGAGCAGATTAGTTTGCCTCTTTGCAGTCTTTGTTTTTGTCATTGTCACATTATCATGTTGTTTTGCTATCATGGTACATTTGCTATTATATAATTTTTCACTGACTGAGAACTAAATCTCAGCATTATGGGCCTGGATTTTTGCTCCAAAAATTATGCCACAAGAATAGGGGTGTTTAAATATTCCAAAATGTCTAGCTCGTTGTCTGTTTTGCAACAACTGCAAGATTACTTCCCTCAAGGAAGAATTGGTTATGGTAGCAAATTTTTCCCTGACCTTTTCTACAGTCATTCTACTTGTATTTGCAGATCTCATCAGAAGACCCAGACAAAGAATATCTCTCCAGTAACTAATATGGCGAGGTGTACAGTAATTTACAGTAATCCATACCAGATTGGTCATCACCTAGATCAACAAGGACCATGCTAGGTGTTGTAGTTCTGGACATCTGGTGACAAATGGGCTACAGAACTCTCAGGACTGCTGGCTGAGCAACCAAGGCCAGCAGGACTACTGGAAGAAAAATTG